GGAGAGCACAGACATTTTGTTATAGTTATCCATAGAGCAAAAATGTTTCTATTTATCCCTTGGGTGTGTTCCATCCCACCTGGCTCTGGAGAGCTGCTGGGGGTCAGCTCAGGCACCCAGGCATGGGAACCACAGGCATAGGTACAACTCACAGGATATAAGTAGAGCAAAGCACATAAAAAGAGACATTTCTGTCCTGTTAAGGATCATATCAAGGCTGTGCTGTGTCAGCCATGACCTTGTCCCAAGGAGAGGTCCCAGCCTGGGCTGGAGCAGACCCAAACCCTCCAGGAGCATTGTGCAGCTCACAAGCAGGTCCCAGCCAGCAGCACAGGGGCCTGGGGCTGTCCTCTGCACAAATCCTGGTAGAACCCATGTGGGTTTGGAGAAAAGCTGTGTAAAGCCACAGAAGGGTGTTCTGGGAGTGTCCAGCTCCCAGGAAAGCATCAGGCTTGGTACCTGTGCTTTGCATCCCTGCAGAAGACTCACACCACCCACCTCTTGTTGCTGTTTGACCCACTTGTGCCTGCTGGCACTGAGGGATATGCAAAATGTGCTGTTTGGGTAACTAGGAGATGAAATACTCTGTGTCAAGGTCTTTGTGAAGCCCAGGGCAGCAGCTCCTTCTCTCTGGGCACTGCCAGCCTGGGAAATCCAGGGCTGAACCCCAGGAGAGCCCCAGAAGGCAACATCCATCCACAGACACCCAGGTTTCCCCCCAGAAACGGCAACTTTGACTTGCACTTGGGCCCTTTGTGTGCTTAATCACCAGAATCTGCAGTGTCACAACTTTCAGCAACCAGGATTTGTCCTGTATGTGTTAAAACAGAGATTATGTGGGAAACCTATGGAAAGATTATAGAGATAATATATAGATTATATGGAAAGACATATAGATTATAGCTATTGATTATAGTTTTAGATATAGATTACCTGTAGATTATAGTTATTATATATACATATATTATATGGGGAAATATGGATTATATGGAAAATATTATTATGGTGTCACTGCCACCCTCATCAACCCCTGACTAGTGCAGTCCCAAGCAGGTCAAGTGGGATGAACATGGCCAAAAGCAGAGCAGCTCCTCCCTGGGGTGCAAGTTTGGCTTCTTCCATCCTCCTCCTTCCTGCTCCTGATAAGGAGCATCACCAGAGCATGGCCAGTTTTCCCACCCAGTAACCAGCTCATACATCTGGGCTTGTGCAGTAAAGTTTTCATCATGAAGTGTTTGCAGAGTTCAGCTGCATTAGGATGTGACTTTCACAGTAAGATAATGCTGGAGAAGGTTTTTTAGCAACATTTTATTGAATTTTCATTTGAATAACCCTCTGTGAGGTGGTGGCACCAGACCCAGAGGTGCTCAGGGAGGTGGCAGCTGAGCCACAGGCTCTCCAAGCCCATCCATTTTCCATTTGCTTTGAAGCTGCTTCATGAAATGATAGAAAAACCACTGGCAGCAGTTGGAATAACTTGCCAGAACACAGCAAACAATGTAAAGGTCAATGTTAGCTATTTTATATACACATATATATATATATATCTGTGTGCGTGTGCATGAGAGAGAGAGAGAAGAGGATTTCTAACACTTATTTTCTATAAATCTTCCCAGGAACAAAATGTTGTTATGAATGTTCATGAAGAATGAGTCAAAATAGAGCAGGCTGAAAATGTTTGCTGAATTTTGAGATGCAGAAAATGTCCATCCTCTCCTCTCTCTCTCTCATACACGCACACACATACATATATATATATCTGTCTGTAGGCTTTGGATGCCATTTCCCATCAGATCCTCTCAGAGAGACTGTCAAAGCATGGACAGTTATGGACTGAGCTGCAAAGTGCCTTGACTTTCTCTGCCAAACCCCCTCTGCCTTATGCACAGTGCTGGTGGGCACAGCTCACCCTGACCAGGGAGGTAAAGCTCTCCCTGATGCTTTACCTGCTCATCGTAAGGTATTATCCCCAGTGCCATCATCCTTTCCTCTGGGATTGCATCCCTGCAATGTCCCTCTGGGGCTGAGCACCATGAGGTGGGACCAGAGCAAGGTGATGTGCTCTGGGCTTGCCCAGGAAGGCTCTGTGACATGATTTAGATTGAATTAGCTCAGAACAGGAGTGGGTGCTGACATCAGTCCCTGGCAGCTGCCTCCTGCCAGGCTGACGTGTACACACTTAGTAACCAGAGGTTGTTCCAATCCAAGTTTCAGGGAAACTAAAGGATATTCTTGTATGAAGGATGAGGCTCTGCATGTGGTCAGACTGGTGTTTTTTCCTTCTTTATACGGCTGCACAGATATGGGTCAGCACTATGCAGCATCCTTCTCACATCCTATATGGATGTGTGTATATATAATACAGATATTTGAACACACTGAGTTGTATTTTAGTCCCATTTTGGCTCTGTTTTGTGCTGCCAGTTCCATCCCTCCCTCTGACTCTGCCTGTTCTTGTCTCTGCTCTCCCATTCCCAGGGCTAAAGGCTTCTCTCCAGAGGCTGCAGCTGGAGTATGTGGACGTGGTCTTTGCCAACCGACCGGACAACAACACCCCCATGGAAGGTTGGTGGAAGCTTGAGTCAAAGGTTTTACCATGCCTGATCATGGTTTATGGATTTAGACTGATGGGGTAGGAAATGAAATAATATTTTGAATTACATATTCAGCTAGGGAAGCTTAGATATGGAATATCTCATTTGTGGTGTCCTGGAGTCATGTGTGGAAGGTGTCCCTACCCATGGGTGGTACTTGATGGTCTTTAAGGTTCTTTCCAACCCAAAACATTCTGTGATTTTATGTTTACACTTCAGTGGAATGAATTTGTATTCTTGGAAGGAAATGGAGTTTCCTTCAGGCCCCAGTGGTGGCTTTAATGCTGCTTAGGGTTTTCATTTCCTTCTCCTGATTCCTTCAGATGAAGTGGATTTGTGTTTGGATTTAAGGCAGGTTCCCATGTCAAATGAAACATGTGTGTCCCTACCCCTGGTGCAGCCAGCTCTAGAGAGGGGAGTGTGCCAGCACTGTCCCCATCCTTGTCCCCATCCCCTGGGCTGCCTGGAGAGCTGATGTTTCTCCCAGTGCTAAAATAAGGAGCATGATCCAATCTAGGGAGAGAAGCAGTGGATAAGCTGTAGAGATCAGTGTCCCAGTGCAGGAGCAGCAGGAGCTGTCTCTGGTGGGCTCAGCTGAGGGTCTGTGAGAGGACAGGATCCGGGCTGGCTGGGAATGGTCTTCTTTAAATCCAGACTGGTAAACTCAGGGAACATTTTTAGGGACTTGGAAGATCTGTGACTCTCTTTGCTCTTTAATTACTATAATCACTGATAACCATATCTGTGTGTCTGGCACATGGACATAGCACAGTTGGCCAAGAACCTTCATCAGTGTGTCTTGGGGTTAGTGTCCTTTCTAATGGGTACTAGTTCCCACTCCTCCTCTTCTCCTATCCAGACACTGTGGTAGATTAGTGTCATAGCTAACTAAAAACCAGCAAGAAGGAAGACTCTCAGGCTGCAGGAGCTGTCATGGATAGGCACATGGAAATCAAACAAACTTGGAGCTTGACAGGCCCTTGGAAGCTCCTGGCTTGACGTCAGCAGTGGTGACACCTATTTTCTTAATGAACTGTGACCCAGCTCGACCCTTGAATGGCAGCCAGTGCCAACAGCTCCGTGTTCAGGGACTGGCCTGGGATCATAGGACCAGTGCAGATTTCTTAGTAGCTGCTGAGGTCAAGGAACATGACATGTTGTGTCTGGGAGGGAGGAGTGACCTCTCTGCTCAGTCAGTCGTCCCCTAACAGTGTGGATCCATTCCCTGTGCCCATGGCACAGCTGATCCTGGTGCTCACAGCATCTCGGAGCTGCAGCTCCCCTGGCAGCGCCGCCTTGGCAGCGAGGCACGAGCTGCGGCGCCTGGTGAGACTCCAACGGGGTGAAAAAAAGGACATTCTTATTATGAATGGCATGGTGGAGATTCTTCCCATCTCCTTCCTGCTTTTTATATGGTTCACCTACTAAGCCACTTCTCTCCCAGAGCATCTGCTGAGCCATCTGTCAGTGCCGCACTCTGTGCGTGCGCAGCGAGTGCTGAGCTGCCGTCGTGAGCCACATGCTCCCTGCTCTGGCGCCATACATCCCTCTGCTCTTCCCACGGGAAATCATGGAGTGCTTTGGGTTGCAAGGGATAAGTTCATCTCATTCCAATCCCCTGCCATGGGCAGGGACACCTTCCACTAGCACAGATTGTTCCAAGCCTCATCCAACCTGGCCTTGGATAGCTGTGATGGAGCAAGTAACCTTAGAGCATTTTCTACTTGTGACAACACCTCAGGATCATGCAGGAGCAAACCTCATGTTGTATGCAGTGGGGCACAACCAAATGAATCAAAGGATAAACTTGGAATGTCCATGTTTTCTGTGCTTGCTGCACGTGGGCAGGTGAAGTTTCTTTGTGGTCCCCTCTCTGCTGTAATGTGTCTGTAAGCATTAGACAGGGCAGACATTTGGGGATCCTCCTCTTTTCTATCCCTTCACTCCTCAAGGTCATCCAGCCTGGCCTGGCTGCTGTGGCAGGTGTGGGTAATGGAGAGGATGAGCATTTCATACATATTTACTTATTGTGGTGATTCCAGTCCCCAGAGCAACATGAAAAGCTTCTTATCCTAAACCCCAGAAGTGTATTTATCTTTCTTAAAAGTCTTGGAGCAAATTTAAAAGCTTTTCCTTGTAAAAGCAATAAATATTGGTGTCAAGGAGCACCTGGAGTGGAGCAGCCTGTGCAAAGCTTGTTGTGTAGTCCTGCTAGTGGGTCTGGCTGGTCCCTGGCCAGGACATCTGTGTCCCCTGTGCGCAGGGTGGGCTCTGCAAGGCAGGTGGGATGAAGGGTGAGGGGCTGCCCATCCTCACTGAGGTCAGGTCAGCCATGTGTGGTGTGTCCCTGCCATCCTCTGCCACCACAGTCCCCTTGATCAGGGACCTTGGGAGACAGGTGATGGGAAGAATCTGTCCTCCTCTCCTGCATCCCCATGTGTTTCATATCTCATCACTCAGGCTGGAGATCTGATCCCCAAACTGTGCTACCAGATGCTCTTTTTTCATCCCAAGTGACTTCTCCAGCAGTGCAGCTCCAACTGCAGGACAGGAGGGTCCCTGTGGTCCCCTGGTGTGACCTTCCATTGTCACACTGCAGGGTGCCCACAGCACATCCAGAACCCAATGTACAGCCCTGGCACACAGAGAGAGAAGATGACAACTTTTCTATCAGGGGACTTTTAGCTACTTCAAAATTACTATTATTATGCTGCCAGGGGCTGTTTTCCAGGATTTGAAACACTTATTTATATTAAAAAAGGAGATCTCTAGTTCTTAAGTGATGCCATTTGGGCATCCAGCTGGCAGGGCAAGAGATCCAGGCATGAGCTCTTCCCAAATCCCTTATCCACGGG